TAATGTAGTTTAATGAAGTTAAATTAATTAAATTAATTAAATTTTAAATTTAATTAAATTAATTAAATTAAGTTAAATTAATTAATTAAACTGTAGGGCGCTACAGTTTAATGAAGAGAAACCCCCCCCCCATAGCGCCTTCGGTCGCCTCCCACGGAGACGTCGTCCGGCCCGGCTGACTTCACCACCGGAAGCGGTTTTGTCACAAGATTCAGTGCCCGCCATCTTGACTCTTTTAACTCCCGCTGAGTACATCCGCAGCAGGCGAGTCGCTCTGACGCTGTGATGGAATGGAAGTATGAAGGCCAGACTCAGGGAGAAAAACGTTTCCTTTCATCTCCTGAGGGGCGAGGGAGAGAGAAGAGGATGAGGCTGGCACCTCCCTGAGGAATTCACACTGTTGTGGCTGGAGGACTTTGGGAACTGGGGTTTTAGTCTGGGAAGATTCTTGCTAGAAGTTGTAGCTAATAAACAGCTGAACTGAATTAGCACTGTCTCCTGGAGTTCCTTAGGCTAGGCCTGACATCAATCTGTTTAGTCTGGGAAGATTCTTGCTAGAAGTTGTAGCTAATAAACAGCTGAACTGAATTAGCACTGTCTCCTGGAGTTCCTTAGGCTAGGCCTGACATCAATCTGTTTAGTCTGGGAAGATTCTTGCTAGAAGTTGTAGCTAATAAACAGCTGAACTGAATTAGCACTGTCTCCTGGAGTTCCTTAGGCTAGGCCTGACATCAATCTGTTTAGTCTGGGAAGATTGATGTCAGGCCTAGCCCAAGGAACTCCAGGAGACAGTGCTAATTCAGTCCAGCTATGTTTATTAGCTACAACCTCTAGCAAGAATCTTCCCAGACGGAAACCCCAGCACCCAAGTCATGCCAGCCACAACACTGTGAATTCCTCAGGGAGGTGCCAGCCTCATCCTCTTCTCTCTCCCTCGCCCCTCAGGAGACGAAAGGAAACGTTTTTCTCCCTGAGTCTGGCCTTCATACTTCCATTCCATCACAGACCCCTAATAAAAGCCACCCACTTTCCCAGCAATTAAGGACACCACCTTACTTTTAGCTTCTCAGAATATGTGAATTTCTTCCTTGCAAGAGCGCTCCTTATATCAAAAGCAAAAAACACTTCCAGCAGAGTTGATTTCCGAACGATGAATTTGTTGATGTTTTGGCGAGGGTCCCTTCAGCGATCTTATCTGGGTGCCCTTTTCAAAATAAAGTCGGGCAACCTTGTCCAAGGACTGCTTTCTAGATGTGTGTCACTATAACCGTGTTTCTCAACCTTGGCAGCTTGAAGGTGTGTGGACTTCAACTCCCAGACTCACCTTCAATAACAAATAAATGTTTAAGGCACTCAGGATAGTTCGCTTCGAACAGGGGAAGAAGCTGGAAGGGTGGAGAAAGAATCGAACCATAGAAAATTGCAAAAGTTTATAGCCGTGTTTCTCAACCGTTGCCACTTTAAGATAGGTGGCTGGGGAATTCTGGGAGTTGAAGTCCACACACCTTCAAGCTCCATCATCCTGACTGGAGAGAGGGGGAGTTGTACTTGGTACACCGAGATAGGAAAGCAGTTCTAGATTTCAAGGGAATCTCTACAATTTCTCACGTTTCTGGGGGTTGATTAGCTATTTCCTGAATTGAACGTGGCTTTGCTTTTGTTTAGCGCTCACGAGAAACCAATGGAGGTGTCAGTTCGGGTGCCAGACAAGGAGTGGGAGATGCAGGTTCTAACCTACCATCACCGTGGAGGGTCCCTGGGGGCCTCTGAGCCGTCCCTCCCTCACAGCCTATCCTCCCTTGGCAGAAGAGGGCCACCTGAGGTCCTGCATGAAAGGCAGGATATAAATCTAATCAATAAAGTGAATAAACATGGCAGAAGATTGGGAAAAAACGTTCTACTGGGGGTAGAGAGGAAGGAAGATGACCTTGATGGAGATAGGCAGGAACCGTTTCCTAGGCAAAAGGGGATGAAGCACTTTTAAGGCCAGAAGATCCAGAGAACTTTTGGAAGTGGCTCAGAGAATCACCTCCCTAATTCACGGTAGTATAAGAGGGGGAAGGAGGACCAGCACAATCAGACTTGCAAGATTCTGCTATTGTAGCCCATCTCCATCACAGTAGTTTTAGCCTTCCTGCGAAGTTGAATTTCTGGTCTG